ATTATAGTGCGCGCCAACAAATTAGTACTACTTGCTCTTCGACATATATATATATATATATATATATATATATAGGCTAGACAGGTCTGATTAAATTTCCCCTGTGGCATATCTCATTCACCCATATGACTCGCTTAAACTCTGAAGCTTTAAAGAACATTTCTCTTTATAATATTTACGCGTGTGCACCAATAAGTTCATGAAGCTCGGAGCAAAGTTATTTAATAACGCATTCTTCAGTGGCTCGTGTTTTTAAACTAAAAGCTGAATAGGCAGAGGTGCACAGCTTAGGGCATGCGTGTGAGAAGGGTTCTTTTTATGCCTTTTCTGTTCTTGTTGATAAAAAAAAGTCGTATATTGTAGGGAGCAGCCCGATCCTGGCTGGGCTGAGTGTATGGTAGATTCAGGCACTTTTGATTATTATTTTACTTGACTAAAGCTCGTATTTTCCGCATAAATCTCAACAAAGTCAGTTGCTAAATAATAAGACTACGCCTTCTCGTTGTTCGTAAATTAGTAAAGTCAGCATGACAAAAAATAAAATAAATAAATAAGTAAATGAAGAAAAAAGCGAGGCAAAAAATGAAACACGACAAAATAATTCTGAGTTAAGTGTAGCGTAAAAAGAAAGCTTTCAGCTGCTCTCGGGGAAAAGCTACCTCAATTAAAGATAAGTATCAAAGTGCATAATAATCAAAAGGCAGCCAGGCGAGAGACGGGCCAATGAGTAACTCGATGGCAGGCGGCCAGGTGCCAGGTGCGGCAGGTGGCAGGTCGCCTGGGCCAGACAGCGTCTAGGATGGGGTGTGGCTGAATGTAAACACAGTAGTGCTACTGTTACTGCTGGCTTGTCAAAATGATTGTCTTACATGCATTACACGTCGCTTGCTTCGCAGCATTCTCGGGCCACGGGCGCACCTGACGTATGTGCAATTTTTCACCTGCTCTTTCTACGCTACTTTTGTTGCACATCGTTTTTCATAGACAGCAAAAACGACAACAACAAATAGCAACAAGAACATGGCTAGTTATTTTCGTGTCGTTTTTACTGCAATTTATGCAGAAAGAGCGAGAGAGAGAGAGAGAGAGAGAGAGAGGGAGTGAGAAATCCAGGCCAGGAGCCCAGATCCAGAGGGTAGGTAATAGCAGCAAAAGCGTAGTCCAAATCCATGCCAGGCCTGCCCTCTTTTGGTCATTGCCTGTTAACACACCCAATGGGAGTTATTAATGTTTGCTGGTCTTTATTTACGGCTTGCTAGCAGGCAGCCGGCAGCCGGCAGCCAGGCAGTCAGGCAGGCTGCCATCGGCATCGGCATCGGCATCGGCATCGAGTCGATTTTTTACCACCGGTCCCGAAGGCAGAACCAGAACTCGCTGACAAGCAGCAACTACGATGGGGTTCTCCACGCAGTTGATTTAAATTTGGCGTAGTTAATTTTTAACCCAATTCCAGCGGCTTTATTTATGTGAAACGCCCATTTAATGTTGCATTTTTTATTGCCAACTGGCATATCAACTCGTTTGGGGCCCGAATTTAAGGTTTTCAGCTATTTTTGCAGTGCTTAAATACGTAAATTTAATCTACACGACTTTAATGCATCTATGAATGCAATGACATTGATCTATACAGATGGAGAAACGCAAAACATTTATGCTTAACCTATAATCTTTACATTCTCATTAACTCATTATATAAACACATAAGCAATTCTTGTGGCCTTTGCATTATTTGTGACCATGATCTATACAGACAGATTGTA